TGGTGAGGGGTCTGGAGAATAAGTCTGATGAGGAGAGGCTGAGGGAGCTGGGGGTGTTCAGCCTGGAGAAGAGGAGGCTGAGGGGAGACCTTCTTGCTCTCTCCAACTCCCTGAAAGGAGGGTGTAGAGAGGTGGGGGTCGGTCTCTTCTCCCAAGGAACAGGAGACAGGACAAGAGGAAATGGCCTCAAGTTGCCCCAGGGGAGGTTCAGGCTGGATATTAGGAAAAACTTTTCCACCTGCCCAGGGAGGGGGTTGAGGCCCCATCCCTGGAGGTGTTCAAAAGCCGGGTTGATGTAGTGCTGGGAGGTCTGGTTTAGTGATGATGCTCCTTGTTTGTTGTGGGGGTGTCTATTTTTGTCAAAATTAGGTTGACAGTTGGACAAGATGATCTTTAAGGTCCCTTCCAACCCAGAAGATTCTGGGATTCTTGGTGGGGAAAGGGGGCCTGGTTTTCTGCCTCACTGGAGAAATCAAGGGCTCTGAGGAGATGCAACTCCTCAAACCCCAGAGCAGGGGGTTGTTGTGCTTCCCCCCCCCTGCTCATCCTGGGGATGGGGCTTGTCCCCACTGCCTGAGGTCACCCCAAGCCCCCCCCCCCCTTTTTTTTTTCTTTTTCTCCATTCATTGGAAGGCTGGAAGGATTCTGAATTGAGCTGTGGTGCCCCCAAGCCCCCCCCCCCTTTTTTTTTTTTGCAGATTTGGCTTCTGAAATGTCCACGTGGGACGGGGTGATAGTGACGCCTTCTGAGAAGGCTTATGAGAAGCCTCCAGAGAAAAAAGAAGGAGAAGAGGAAGAGGAGAATCAGGAAGAACCGGCTGCAGGCGAGGAGGAGGAGAGCATGGAGACACAGGAGTGACTGGCCCAGGTAAAGCCAGCCCTGGGCAAGTGAGGGAAGGCTCTGGGCTACCAGAACACCTCAGCAACCTGTCGCTCCCCCCTTGGCAGGACCCCCCCAAGTAGGGGGGGACCCATCCCTCGTGTGTGTTTTTATAAGTTGCACATTAAAGTGTTTCCCCCCTTTTGAGCGCGTCTGCTTAGTTTGGGCAGAAGATGTGCCTTATGAAAGGGGCCAGAAAAAGGTCTAACTGGGGGAAGGGGGTCTCTCTTGAACTGGGAGGGCCCAGAACTGGTCCCAGTGCTCCAGCTGGGGCCTCCCTGGGGCAGAGCAGAGGGGAAGGATGACCTCCCTCTACCTGCTGGCCACATTTTTAACACACCTTAGAAGACTATTGACCTTTTTATGGCCACAAGGCCACATTGCTGGCCCACGGGCAACTTGTTGCCCACCAGGACTCAGGTCCTTCTCCACAGAGCTGCTTCCCAGCAGGTCAACCCCAACCTTTACTGGTGCAGGATCCCAAAATTGTCCTTGTTGAACTTCATGGGGTCCCTCTGGATGGTGGCACAGCCTTCTGGGGTGCCACCAGCAAACTCTGTCCCCATCCTCAGCCCAGTAATGAACACGTTGAACCAAACTGGGCCCAGTACTGACCCCTGGTAGCCACAGGGCTCCAACTGGATCACCAGCAACCTCCAACTGGATCACCAACCACCTCCAACTGGATCACCAACCACCTCCAGCTAGATCACCAGCCACCTCCAACTGGATCACCAACCACCTCCAACTGGATCACCAACCACCTCCAACCCCGGGCTCTGCTCTCCCTGCAGCAGCAGCCGCGACGTTGGGCTCGTTACAGACTCCTGCTGCCTCAAGCAGCCCGTAAACAACGCGCGGTCGCTTTTATTACACCACTTCCAAACCTGGAAATACAATTTGGGGTCCGTCTTTCCCCCCCCCCCAACCCCAGTTCCTTCAGCTGCAGCCAAAAAGCCACAGCCTCACTTTGTGGGGGTGTCTCACTCCCCTCCTCGTGCTGCTACAAGCGGGGACACCCTCTCCCCGTTCCGTCCCCTGTCACCCCCTCACCCTCCGGGGGTCCTTCCTGCTCTGGCACATCCGTGGTGCGAGGGGGATGCGGCCTGGAGGGTGGGGGAGGGCTTTCACTTGCCAGACAAGCCCTGTGGGTAGCCACCCGCCGCCTCCAGCATGGCCTTCCTCCTCACCGTCTCCTTGGCCACGCTGTGGTTCAGCCTCCGCAGCCGTTCCTGCGCGGGGGGGTGACAAGAGGCAACTTGTCAGGAGGATGGGGGTACAGGGGGGGGCTCTGGGATCCCCCCAAAAACACTGTAGGGCCCCCCCCCGACACCCACCTGGGCGTTCTGCAGGATGTTGTTGACCAGCACCACCCTGCGCCGGGCGTTCAGCAGCTTCTTCACGTAGGGATCGAGGTCCAACGCCACTTTTTGGTCCTCGTTGATGCGACACAGCTCTGGGGAGAGGGGCAGTGGTTGGAAGTGGGGGGGACATAGGGCCACCACAGACACCCCTCCACCCCCCAAGTGTGGGTCAGAAGCTCCCTGTGACCCACAGAAGTCTCACCCGTGGCCAGGCTGTCGATGTGCTCCCGCAGCTCCACCTGGCTCTCCCTGTGGAGGGGACAATGTTGGTGGCCCCCGGCCCCAAATCCACCCCTACATCCCCCTCCCCACTCCTCCAACATGGAACCTGCCCCCCAAAACTCCCTCCCAATCCAAACACCCACCCAGTTACCTGCACCCCCCGCCCTC